GCAGGGAGCCCGATGCGGGACTCGATCCTGGGACTCCAGGATCATGACCTGAGCCGAAGGCAGTCGCTTAACCAACTGAGCCACCCAGGTGCCCATCTTTTCTGTTATTCTTATCCACTGGAAAATCATGTTTACTATATATTATTCCTTAATCAACTGGAATTGTTTTCAATCATTAATACACGTTCACCATCTTTTCAGCTTTAATCTATCCTTCTATCTTTCAATTAAGTTTATATTTAAGTAAGGAAGGCATACTCTTCATTATTTAAAAAAATAGTGAGGATTTATCCCCAAATAATTTATTATCTTTCTTCAGAATATAACACTTTTGTGTGTATAACAGCAGACCACAACTTTGTCTTGATTTAACATTTAGTAAATTTTCTGACAGAGCTAAATTAAAAATTATACCATAAATATTATACTAAAATTAAAAGTCCTGCAAAGAAATGGCATGACAAATTGACCAGTCCTGAAAGTTTTTTTTAGTAACAATATTCTTAAAATACCTTGGTCTTTGGGCTGAAACAATGACTGTCAGGTGAGAAGATGATAAACATACTATATTGACCCTGATTCCTAAAGAGTGGGACTCTCATTATCATACCCTGAGAACAGCTCTGCTCTCTACAGGGAAATCTAGGAATCAGAAATGATCCTTCACTGAGAAAAGAAGAAAAAACCACAAAGAAAAAATGTCACCCATCTGCTTATATTCTGTAATCCAATAAAGGCGACACATTTAAAACTCCCAATGATTCGACTTTCTTAATCACTGAAGGTTTTAAACTATGAATGACTGTAACCCCAGCACCTCATACAATGAATGAGTTAGTATGCTCTTATTCTGCTTATACCCTCTGACTTCAAAATACATTTTAGAAAGGAGTCAGAAAAGATCAACAACATCTGGAAAACATTTAGGGGGCAGACTATTTTGAATGAGGGCTTTGCAAAAAAGTACATTATTAGGCAGCTATTTAAATAGTCTATGGACTTATCAGTTAGCTACATCTAGCTTGCTCTGTCCTTTGTTTTGTTTTGTTTTAAATATTTTATTTATTTATCTGAGAGACAGTGAGAGAGAGAGAGAGAGCTACAAGTAGGAGGGAGGGGTGGAAGGAGAAGTGCTCCCCGCTGAGCAGGGAGCCCAATGCAGGGCTTGATATCAGGACCCTGGGATCATGACCTGAGCTGAAGGTAGATCTTAACCGACTGAGCCACCCAGGCGTCCCTGCTCTGTCCTTTGTGAAATGATGGTGGAGGACAGGGAAGGAGGGATCAGACATTTAAAAGTTTAAATAACTGCAAAGCATATAATTTGCAGTGGACTACAGTATCAACATTTTAACATTGTTGCTATTGTTGTTATTATCCGAATGTTCCTTATAAACCATCTGTTCTTGCTTTATGAATAAAAACTCTTCTTTCATCTCTGAGGAAACCAATAGGGTTTTGGGGGAGAGGGACATCTCTGCTCCTTGTATTGTGTTTGTTTATTCCTAGTTGCCTTTTTATTTATTTTTTGAAGATTTTATATGTTTATTTGAGGGAGAGAGAGCATGAGAAGTGGGGAGCAGAGGGACAGAGAGAGGAGAGAGAGAAGCAGACTCCCCACTGAGCAGGGAGCCCGATGTGGGGCTCTATCCCAGGACCCTGAGCTGAAGGGAGACACTTAAAACCAACTGAGTCACCCAAGCGCCCTGCTAGTTGCCTTTTAAACTCCCATTTGTTTTGGTCTCTGTCACTGGCATCCGAAACTTTAACACTTGATGTTCGATGATCCAGAGATAATGTCTTACCCAGACTAAGTGAAGGTGCAACAAACTGTCTGAAAGGTTTGAGTGTACAGAGGGCTTCTTGTTTTTGAACTTTCCTGTACAGTGATCTAGGTGGAATCTCTGATGTCGCTACCTCTGGGTTTTTCCCCCTTGGCTGGTGAGTTTCTTCAGAGAAGACTCTCCAAATCTCCTGCCTGAAGGGGAAGGTTTGACTGCCAGCATTCTGGTAATCACTGAAAAGAGAGTGCTGGGAAACTCTCCATTCATCCTTCAGGAAGTAGTCACTCAGTCCCCCTGTTTCTGGTAAAATATCTATGTCCATGTCCCCAGTCCAGACATAACTGGTTTTCCTCTCTCCAGAGAATAAAAGTCTACTGCCAGGGAAGGGATGAGGCAGTCACCCAGTGACACAGAGCAGGAGACAGGATTCAGAGAAGATGATCAGATATGCTTTCTCACTTACGTGCCTTCCCTCTTCTGAAGATACCTGGCACTGCTGATTCCTGAGACTTTTCAGGAATCCGTGGTATAAATCAGGCTGGTTTTCATTTCCCCATTGCCAACTAGGGATTTAGCTTTTTTAGGTGTATTAAGTCCATTACCACTTCTCCATTTACTTTCTGGCTTTCAAAATGTTGTTTTTGTTTCCTTCCTCTTTGTTGTCTCCATCCTTATAAGTTCATGCTTAAAAAAATTCCTTGATTATAGTTTTAGTGGAGTTTCAAGAGACAGCAAAAATCTGTCACCTTATCTGAAAACCCACATCTGCCAAAGCCTTTGGAAACTAAAGATGTGTCAGTATATTAAACCAGCTGCGTGTTATTGTCTTATTAAGAGCAGAAAGGAAAAAGAAAAAAAAAAGAACAGAAAGGAAAAATAGGAACTGTATCTTCTTTGGTTAAAGCTGGTAATAAAACAACTCTTGCTAGAAGGCTTAAAATTTATGACTAATACTTTTTTAGTTATTAAATCTAGGATAAACTGATAGGATGATCTGCATTCATAACCAGGTACACTCGTTATATAGTTAGTTACCTGAAAATGTAAGCCAAGTATTTCAGAGTACACAGATGTCAAGGTTATGCTTACAGAACTCAGACTGTAAAGCAATGGGAACATATTGCCTCTTCACTATTCCCCAGACTACAGAACTACTCTATTTTGATAATGTTCTCTCTATGGTTACTTCTTGTCTTTATCAATACTGGCACTTCACTACCCCATCACAATTTCTAATACTGTTCTTTGTTGCCTCTGTTTATAGCAAAAGCCTTTCCCCTTTGTTATTCTTTTATTACTCTTTGACTATTTTCCCTTTCCTTGATATTTCTTTCTTTATTTTATAAGATTTTACTTAATTATTTGATAGAGCATGAGCAGGGGTAGGAGCAGAGGGAAAAACAGACTCCTCGCTGAGCAGGGAGCCCGACGCAGGACTTGATCCCAGGACCCCGGGATCATGACCTGAGCAGAAGGCAGACATGTAACCAACTGAGCCACCCAGGCGCTCCGAGAAGTCTTCTTTTAAAAGGTGACATTTGAATAGAGACATAAGAGAGAAGCTCTATGGATATCTGTGGACTAAGTATCCCAAAGAGAAAAAGAGCAAGTACAAAAGCTATAAAGAGGGAGCAGGCTTGGCTTGCTGAATAAACAACGAAGAGACTGGTGGGATGGGAGCAGAATAAGCTTTTTTTTCTATCAACGTTTACTATTTTTGCCATGGTTTACTCTCTACAAGAGTTTAATATACCTTTCAGATTTGAAGAGATTCAGATTCTACCTTATATGAAAGGCTGAGATTGTTTTAAGTCTAGTGGATAAGTGGGACTGTTACTGAATAGGTAATCATTTGCTGCAATAAGCATTTTGGCTGAACACAGGCTTGTAAACACTCTAAATTACAGATATATTGCCCAGTTTGGAGACAGAGAGGGTGATAGTTCAATGGGAAGATGTAAGAGCCAGATCTGATTTTGAGTCCTGGTCCTATGCTTACTTGCTCTAAGTGATCTTGAGTCAGAGAGCTCTCTATATGTCAGTACATAGATACACTTTTATTCTAATTTTAAAATGTAAAAGCATAGTGAATATGGGGAAAGTATAATGGCTTGGGAGTCAGATTCTGAGTTAAACACCTTTGCTGCTGCTTATTAAATGTGCAGCCTTAGATAGTCATTTAAAAGCCTGAGTTTCCTTATCTGTAAAAGCAAATAAAAATATGTACTTTATAAAAGCATTATAAAGATTAAATGACATAATGACCTATGCATGTGAAAGCCATTTGTATACTATAAAATGTAAATTTAAGACACATACATATTTTTAAACTACCCACAGAGCTTCCAAACTTGTATTTTACTCATTTAAAATTTTTCATCTAAGTGCTTTCAAAATTTATTAAGTTTTATCTTTTGATTTATCTCTTCATTTGTACTTAAGAGTTGCATGCAAAATTTATCCTCCCAGTTGGTTCCCTATTTTGACTGATGATAAATTGTATTCAAATAACCTTTGATCTTTTAAATTACATAGCAAAATTCAATGGATATGAACAACTCAGCTTGAAATCCTCAAAAAGGATCAAAATGCAGATTTTCATTTAACTTTATTTCACTCAGATGACCATTTTGTAATAATAAATATGGGTACATGGAGAAAATAATTTGAAAGGATAACTTAACAATCATTTTGTACACTTCAGTAACTGTTAATGACTTCTCAGTAGGGGTTTTTTTGTTTTTTTTTGTTGTTGTTGTTGTTTTTTTTTGGCCTGTTTTGTTTTCTGAACCTTCACTGACAAATGACTGCATGCTAAACATAAATTTGCAGTCAGGTATTTGCTATCAAATACTTGATACACGTTCTTGAAGACTGTACTAGAGAGATACTATTTTATTTCTTAGTATCATATTGTTAGCCATTAGTTAAAAGTGTCCATTTGTTACTAGACAGTAATTTAAAAAGCAACCCAAAAGAGTATTAGCTAAAATCTTTAAAATACCATCAGTGGTCTTCAAAAATATTTTACAAGAGATTTAACAGAATGGAACTTACTCCATGCCCTGCGCAGTCTGCCGTGCAATATCTATAAGCTTGATCATCTCGAATTTGGTCTCGATGATGTGGAGATGGTGATATAAGCTGGAGCCCTCACACCACTGGGTAACAATAGCTAGTTGGGGCTTTGTTGAATAGCCCATGAAGAGTAGGATATTCACATGTCGAGTTTTCCTATAAAAGGAAAAATGTCAGTAAGTAGTAAAGTTTGATAAACTTCAGCAAATCTTTAACAAGTGGGCCAAAGCAGACTAATTATCAGTAAGATATTGTTAGAAAAAAGTATTTTAAAAAAGACAGTGGAGGGGCGCCTGGGTAGCTCAGTCGGTTGAGCATTCGACTCTTGGTTTTGGCTCAGGTCATGATCTCAGGGTGGTGAGAGGGAGCTCCACCTCCTGCTCTATGCTCAGTGGGCTCGTCGCTCAGCGGGAGTCTGCCTGAGATTCTTTCCCTCTGCCCTTCCTCCCACTCACGTGTGCGCACGCTCTAAAATAAATAAATAAATCTTAAAAAAAAAAGACAACGGAAGGATAAATTTAGAAATGACTGTAGGAACTGTCTAGTCTAATATCCTACCCCTTTCAGAAAGGTCTTAAATTTTAATATACCTCACAGATGGGCAACTGGAGGTTGCTTAATTACCTTCAATTATGTGAAGTTCATCACTGAGATTGTAGCTTATTTCCCCCACTCCCTTTTTTTTTTGTTTCTTAAGTGGTTCTAGTCTTACAAAGTTCTTTGAGGTTGAGAAAAAATCATTTCCCTACAACTTCCACCACTGGCTTTCCTGTTCTGCTCTCTGGAATAAAACAGAGTAAGTTTGTACCCTCTTGAACATAATGGCCTTCAATGGATCCAAATATCCTCAGTTTTGTTGACTGTTTTTCCCCTAAAAGTTATAGTACCAGAATACTGTCTAAGTTGTCCTTGCCTGGATATACTCTAGTTTGTTAATGTTCCTCAAGTTCCAGGGCTTGATACAATCTTTAAACATGTTCTGGTAAGTTTAGAATTTTGAGAGTATTATTTTGCTAAGTGGTGATACGATTTCCCATGATCAGAATACTGTATTTCTATTAATTCACTCTAGGATTAATTTTTCCATCAGTTATACCACATAATATTGTACACCACTTGAAGAATATAGTTAAAGACAAAATATACTCAGACAAGCTCCGTTTTATCCACTTTTAGTAAAACTGTAAAGCCACCAGCAGCTGTCACTGGAAAACAGAAGATGAAGATAACTTCTCTGGAAAACAGTAATTCACACATGCTCACCTGAGTACTCCTACTTCATTTTTGAAGGCCTGTAACTGCTGAGGTGTGGGTGCTGTCACATTCAACATTTTCACTGCCACATCACCTAAAAAAGAATTGTTATTCCAAATGTCATTCCAATTTTTTAAACTTAAAAAATATAAAAAAAACTGTTGGGTATTTTCACTAATTACCATGACCTTAAATCCATATCATTATTAAACTGCATATAAATGTTCTAAGGATAAAAACTAAGTGAACAATGATACTCCTATATTAGTATTTCAAAATATCAATCCAAAAAAATAGCCAATGTTGTTTTTCCCCTGGAAATTTAGTTTAACCAATTAAGTACCCACAGTATTTTCCTGGTTATTTAACAATATTAAACTAGATGCTTTTATTAACTGAATGTTGAAACTACCAATGACAGGCCCAGTGAAGCTTGGCTAAAAGAGAAAACTGCAAAATTTCCTTATCAGAGTACTTAACATGTTTTTCAAATCCACAGATCACCTTCTTTTGCTTAGGAAAATTATTTAAATTGTAACTTAAAAAAACACAATTTCATGTGAAACAGGTAGAACTCTTACACACTGTGGTACAACAACTTGAAAGACTTCTGGTAGCATCTACTAAAACTGAACATATGTATAGCCAGTGGTCCCACAATTCTTTCTTAGGTATATACCCAGCAAAATGGAACATATGTTCACCAAACATGTACTAAGAATATTCACAGCAGCAGTATTCATAATAGCCCCAAACTGGAAACGATTCAAATGCTCATCATACAGTAGAGATCGAAAAAGAAATCATGGTATAGTCACACAATGAATACTACACAGAGAATGACCTACAACCACACACAATAATAATTGTACTTTTTTGCAGATATATTATACTTTGATGTAATTATTGATTTTTCCTGATTATCAAAGTAATATAGTAAAAAACATTTTGAGAACATAAAATCACTTATAATCTGTCACTCAGATATGGTCATTGTTAACATACTGATAAACATCCTATTAGGCTTTTATATGTATGCAATGTGAATATTTATGAATACATATGAAAAGATAACCTAAAAAGATATATACTAAAATATTGATGGTCATTTTTAATTTTGTTATATATTTATTTCTAGGTAGTATCATAATATGAAGTATTACACATGCTGCTTTGTAAAATTCAATATACTACAGACAGCTTTCTGTATCAACAAATATAGATCTATCACACTCTTTCATGTCTATAGAATCATATATGGAGATTATCAATTTATCCTGTCCTCTATTAATGAACAGGTAAGTTTATTTCCAGTTTCCATTAAGTCTCTAATGAATATCCTTGCACACACATCTGTTTGTTTCTGTCCAATTAGTTGTAGTTCTACAAATGGAATTGTTAGCTCAATATACATATTGACAAAGTGCCCTCCAGAAAATTTGTAACAATTTATTTTTCTACAAGCAGTGTTACAATCACAGTTATCAACATGGTCAATTAAAAAAAAAAATCTGTCCACTTGAGAAGCACATAATGATTTCTAGGTTTTGATTTTGCAATTCTTTGATAACTAATGAGGCTAAACATTTTAATATGTTTATTGGCTATTTCCTCCTTTGGTAAGTACACTTTCAATGTTTACTTGTGGTTTATAATACAAAGAAAATCAGCAAAAAGACTTCTAAAAGAAAAAAAAAATCTCGGGGTATATATGCTCTCCCTCTAGGAGGAAATTATCTTTAAACATTATTACTCTAATGGTAAGAGTCCTGGTTGCTATGAATCCAGTTTTTATTTCCCATAATTTTTGTTAGAAACCCTTTGGTGGGTTCTTGAATCTGATCAAAATAGCTTAACGATGCAAACAGTAAATATTCCCTTTGACATTTTTCTCTAGAAGTTGTTAAACATGTCCTGTTTTAATTTGTGTGTCACTGTATTACATACATACCATGCCACTTTCCCTTGTAGACTGTCCCAAATGACCCAGATCCAATTCTCTGTCCCACTGTGATCTGCCCATCAGGAATCTCCCAATCATCACTTGAATCCCGTCTACCAAGGGTTTTCTTGGTAAAATTTGTGCAAAAGTCATGCCAAAGCAAACAAAAAAGAGAGCAAAAATCAGTGTGTGGGAATGCTTTAAGCAAAAAACTACCAGCTCTTATATTTATTTCATTAAGGGAATTCTGTGTCACATACTGACGTATCATACACCACTATATATCATACCATCTAAAAGGTGACATTACATTTAGCTATGACTTGTAAAACAAAAGAACTTAGAGGAAAAAAGATATCATATATTCTCACCATTCGATTCCTATCTTCTGAGGATGAAGATGATTTCCTTTCCCGCTGAGGTCCTGGAGATTTCTGTAATGCTTTTACATTAGTGAGTGAGCCAGGCAATGAAGCAGGGGGGGTGGCAGACAAACCTGTGGTTGATCCTAAGTTAGTGAAATGAAAAATATATCTATTAAAGGAGGATCAAGTATATTAATTTATTGGGGGCAGAGGGTGGGGAGAGATTTAGACTTCTTTTAAAAATGCAGCGTATCTTTAAATATACACCTTTTGGAAATGACAGGCCAAAAAAAAGTCTCATTTGGTGATTTGCATTATAATTTCTTTTAGTTTTCTGGCCAATTTAATGACTTTTAAAACATCTGATTACAGATACAAACTCTGCTTATTGGTACAGAGTGCAGAAGAAAAATAATCCTTCTAAAGTAAGAGATCAATACTGAAACAATACTCTGAAGTTTTTGTTTCTTTGATAAAAAGAAGTAAAATCAATTTAAAAACACCCTTGTTAACTATGTTACCTCAACAGCCAATCAATATAAAAACAGATGGAAACTCCCAAAAGGAAATATATTATAATAATGGCCTTAATGTTAAGAATATCTGGCTCTATCATTTAGCCACTAAAACTTTAAAAATCCTATACTATTTAACTCTTAAATAGTTAGAAATATTGGTCAGTTCATTGGTTCCTGGATTCCTATTCTACTAAACAAAGATTATTTGTTACCTGTATAACAAAGTTAATGTAAACAAAGCCAAGCAGGTTTCTCAAGATTTTCTGAAAAATCGCTACCCATACAGAGTCAGAGCAAAGTAAGTGGTATGGCCTCTTGGCCAATTTACTACAAATGGAAATATCCTATCAACCAAGTGAGCCCAATGGGTACACTGTAAGTAGACTCAGTTGGCAGGGCCACATCCTTTTCCAAATGCTGACTAAGCAAAAATCCCAAGTTTATCTACCTGGTTTAGAGGGATTCAGGCCAATGACTCTTAGTAGGGCCTGAGTATAGCTAAGTAGAACTGAGATGTCCAATAATATCTGCATATACATAACAAAAAGATCTCCAGAGAATCTTTTTTTTTTTAAAGAAGATTATTATTTGGGGATAGGCAGGTGTCACTATCTTTCAAAGAGTAAGGATACCAATGACTATATTTCAATGTTAAAACTATAGAATTTTATCATCACTGCATCACACATGTCATCATGTAGAATTTCCATGATCTTACATGCAATTTTCTAAGAGAAAATGGCATCTGCAATGTCTTTAACTAGAGCATAATCCATTTCCATTGATAACTTTCAACATCCTAAAGCCTTAACTGCTTGCTCAGGCCTCATAATCCTGATCTACTGAGGATGGCACTGTACTACTTATTTCAGTCACACTACTCAGCACTGTAGGACCTCTAGCCCATTCTACGGATTTTATGAGAAACAGTTGGGCTGAGAGAGCAAAAATCTGAAACACCACCACTACATTCAGAATAAATAACAGACACTAGCAAAAGCCAGTAAATGTAATTCTTTAAAAATATCTATAGCAAGATATTTGTCTGAATTTTGACTTAAATCTTTGAAAATCAGTTTAACTACTAATTAAAGGCAAGATGAAATGGAAGAGTGAAATTATACTGTTAGCTTTCCCCCTCATATTAGGGCATAAGTGAGAGTGTCAACCCTCAAATTTTCTAAAGTATGCTAAAATATCCCAAATATATTACAGACCTTTTTTAATGCTCCCTACCTTTGATATAAGATGTACATGTCCTACATTTTAAAAAAGAACCCTGCTATTACAGAAATAAAGCCAAAAGTCTAGCAAAATCTCGTAACTGGGATTTCCATTTTTACTTTTTTAAAAACCACACAAATTGATAACAAATATTAATAGTCATAAAGGCTACTGATTAAATAGATTAAAATAAAAGTAATTCAGACTGAAGAACACTCCCGCCCCAACATACATTATTTATTGCCACCCACTGAGTTTAAGAAGTTATCAAGGCCAAAAAGTAATATAACAAAAACAAGATGGACATCTCAGCTCAGAATTTTCTTGCTTTTAAAAATTTACGACAGCATACAGAAAGCTTGTGGTAGTGAGTATGTGTGAGAAGCACATTCAGAGCATTCCAGCCAGGCCAAGCAGAAATTTAGTACTGAAAACTCTCACACTTACAAACACACGCTGTGAGGGTGAGGCACAAACAGAATCTGTAGTTTATATTTAGTTTGCTTTGGGTGAAAACAAGAAAGAAGAGCCCAACTACCTCTGAACACTGGGCCAGGCTCAAAATCAAACACTATTTCACTGGGGACAGAATGTAGGAGGGGACTGGGAGTCCGGGATTGGCATTTCCGAAGACAGCGCATCAGCTGGTTCAAAGGGGCTGTTAGAAGAGAAAGAGAGGGGCAGGCAAACACAGGAAGACAGACACACAGAAGAAATGAAAGAAGTCATGGGAATAAATGAGCTGAAGCCTGCTGTACAAAATAATTCTGGATGTCTAAAAAATTCTGCTTGTTTTCATAAAATCCCAATGACTTTTTATAAAGTGACTCATAGGACAAGAAATGCCATTTGATTTTTGGTACTAGGCAGGCAGTTTTTATGACTAAGTCAACTCTGTGATGCTAACATGATGGCAACATTTAAATGCTGGATGTACTGGGCAAAATTATCAAAAGCCACTGTTATTAAGACATATGAAAGTCAAACTGGCAGCAACATTAATTGGCGGGTTCACGGAATAACAAATGGAAAAAAACCACAACTTTTTAAACTACAGGCTAAAGTGAACACTAAATCCAGTATATAAGGCAGGGTTATCATTGTGGCAGGTTCACAGGTATACAGAAACATAACAAAAGATGGTTTATACAATGTTTATTCAATATAAAATATCTTTAAGTCTGGGCTTAGATATTTTGAAGATAAAGCAGGTCACAGTGAAGAGACTCTCAACAAGATAAACAGGTTCTGCAGGTCTTCCTTATTAGACAGAAGACAGCTGAAAAAGCAAGCATGGAGGGCCACCTGGAAGAAATCTTCAAGATAGTTTCAAATACCATTTTTGGGAAAACATATAGGGGTAAAATCTTACTTTAAAAGTACTTTCTTAAGCAATGTTTTATGTCCCCAATTTTCACAGAGTGCTAGAGTGAATATCTGATGAAAATTCTATAAGGAATCTCAACTCAATTTCTCATTTACTTACTTTATTCACTGGACTAATAAGAGGACAATATGATTTCTATTAGGGTCTATTCTATACAATGTGCATTCCAAATCCTTCTAGAAAGCTGAAGAGAAGAGGCTGACAATTCTAACAAACTGAGAAGTTGTGACAGGCAATCTAAGGGATTCTTCCTAAGAATGATTTAGGAAAATCAAGTTTTAACTGATTCTAAGCTCAACTGTTAACAATTAGTGGTATTAGTGGAGGCTCCCAAAGGAAATTTAGCGTCTTGAGTTTTGGAGATGGTTAGAAATCAGTAAAGTGGGTAAAATAGTTGAGGCTCTCTCTTTGATGATTTTAAAATTGTGGATAGTACATTTAAGACTCCCTTTTATGTTCTCTCTTTTTCTCTACTCATCTTATAAATCAGTTAAAATTTTATTAGATATAAATGATAAATAATAAAGAAAAGCAAAAAATATTTGGGGCTTTCTCTACACATTTTTCTCTGTGTCTGTGTTTAATGAAAGAAGCAAATATAAAGGAGACAAGCAGCAAAGCAGTTGCATTTTTCTCTGAGTTTGTTTTTTTGTTTTTTTAATGGAAATCACTACTTACCTCCGTCACTACGAAACCCTTGGTCTCTAATCAAGTCCTACAAATAAACAGTAATGGATATTTATTCAAAGCATATGGTAAGAAAGTAATAACAACACTCAACTTTTCACTAACCATTAACAGAAAGGTAAATTCAAAATAATACCTATCTTAATAATGACTTCACAAAACAGAAAGAATATGAAATTAGCTGGTCAACATGATAAAATAAACATTTGGAAGCACTTCCAACCTAACCCTATAATGAAGGGATTATTAGTCCTGATCAAATGCTGAAATCCATTTCAGGCCATTCAAAACCAATGGCTGTGTCACTTCTTAAAAAAAAATTCTACCGGCACATGTTAAGAGCCATAAAATGTTCATACCCTTTGATCCTGTAATTCCACTTCTGGGAATTTTTCCTAAGGAAATAATTCAGAAGAAAAAATGATATGCACAAGGATGTCCAGTGCAGCATTATCCATCATACTAAAAAAATCAGAAATAATTATTTCCCTATTATAGACATACTAACATTTGGGTTGAGTAAATTATGGTGCATCAATTTAATAAGTATTATGCAGCTACTGAAATAATTATGAAGCTTATATTGTGAAACATGTTTATAATGATAAAAAATAAAATTAAATGTACATTGATTACAATTATAAAAATACAGATGTATAAGGAAACATGAGAAGGGAAAAAATCAAAATGGCTCAAACAAGGGTTTTGTTAAAATCTGTCCTTATGATTAAAACATAGCTTTTTACAACAGATAATATTGGGGATGGGGAGGGACAAGTCTACTGGCAATGCAATGCAATTTGGACCTTCATAGGTAGAACTTAGTTTTTTACCCAGTTTAACTTAAATATGAGGGATTGAATGGCCCCAAATGTCTCTAAACAGGCTCGAAGGCTCTTTGCAAACAGGCAGCTTTTTGTTTATAGGTTAAGACCTAGAGTAAATTCCACAGATGCATTTCTATCATGTTCAATGTATTATATAAAGCCTTCAACATCTTCTACAGAATAACCAACAAATACTTATATATCTGGCAAACAAGGTGCTAGGGTATTAGGGGTTGTGTGGCTACCAATAAATATAAAATCCTGGTGGTGTCACTAACTTTCTGTGTTCTTGAGAGCTTGTAATCTAAGTGGAAGAAAGACATACAAACATGGAAATTAAATAATATAAGAATAATAGCTTAAGAAAACAAAAGAGGTGCCAAAGATGCTTAGTTAACCGCCAAATAAACAGTATGGGTGAAAGATTCTTTTTTTTCTTTTTTTAAGATTTTATTTATTTATTTGACAGACAGAGAGTACAAGCAGGGGGGAGTGGTAGGCAGAGGGAGAGGGAGAAGCAGGCTTCCTGCACAGCGGGGAGCCCGACACAGGGCTAGATCCCAGGACCCTGGGATCATGACCTGAGCCCAAGGCAGACGCTTAACCGACTGACCCACCCAGGTGCCCCAGGTGAAAAGATTCTTAGTGCTACACAAGTTCAAAGAATAAGTAACTATAAGACCTGATCACTGGTGAAGTATTTCAAGAGATGAGCTATGAGTTGGGGTCTGAGGGATAGAGAGAAATGTAGGGGCGCGGGAAGCAGAGGACCTGCTGGACAGAAAGAACAAGACAAAGGCAGAAAGGCCACATCCCTTTCCTTTTTGCTGCACCAGCCTTGTGACTCCCCATAACCAGGGATCAGCCAATTTTGCCTTTTTCCACTCTTACTGCACCATAAACTTCTACTTTTCAATCTGTTCTTAAAGCAACTTAACAACCTTTTTATTTGTTCTAGGTTAAAGAGGATGTTCTATTATTCCAATACTGGCTATTTCAAACTCTTTCTCATGTCCTGTAGTTCCTTTCTTACTTATTATTTTTTCCCTTTAGCATGATAGAGAAAACAGAAGCCGTCAGAGAACATTCTGTTCTGCCCCTATATTTACGAATATTTGCACAGTAATGTTAGCTATAATTTCTGAATTCTTACTATGTGCAAGGCACAATAAGAATTTTCAATCCACTGTAAGAGGCAGACACTTCTAGCTTCAAGGTTAAGTCATTTGCCCAAGATCATACAGCCTGTAAAGAGCTGCAGAGCTCTAGCTATGTCCATCTTTAATTCCTTATAGCCTCTGAGGAACTTGGTTTCCACATCATAGGAACTTTACTGTATCAATTATTCCCTATTTTGTTATTTTCAACTCTCTCTTCACTTGCTTCTTTCCCTCAAGTTACAAATATGCGTAAGACTCTCACATTAAAAACAACTGTCCCTCAACCCTGCTTTAATCTATAGCCCCTGTTCCTTTACAGCCAAGCTTCTCAAAACTCACACTTAACTCACATCTTCACCTGCCTTGCTCTCCTCCACCAACCCTCTAAAACAGTTCTCAATGAAGTCAAAATGACAAAATGACATAGTCCAATAGTCATTTTCAGTCCTTATCACATTTGAGTCTCATTGGCAACTGACATCAACTACTTCAGCATTCTTGAAGTCCCTTTGGCTTCTGCAACACTACCTTCTCTTACTTATCTGAAGTTAGACTTAGGAAGAGCAGTCCACAAAAGAGACACAAAACGACAGTCTCTGCCTGGACCTCAAATGTTAATAATATTCAATGGGGCTGCATATTCTACCCTACATTCTACCCTATATTCTACATATACTCTTTGAGTAATACATTTACACTCATGGTTTTAACTGACAAATATGCTAATTACTCCAAAATCTGTATCTCTACTCAAGGTCCTTATATTTAACTGCTACTGGTTTTTTTTTTTTTTTTTTAAGGTTTTATTTGTTTATTTGACAGAGAGAGAGACAGTGAGAGAGGGAATACAGCACGGGGAGTGGGGGAGGGAGAAGCAGGCTTCCCGCTGAGCAGGGAGCCCGATGCGGGGCTCGATCCCAGGACCCTGGGATCATGACCTGAGCCGAAGGTAGACGCTTAACGACTGAGCCACCCAGGCGCCCCTGCTACTGGACTTCTAAACCAGTAAAGTCCCTCAGACATCTTAATGTCAAAATGTTCAAAATAATAGTTACCATTTTCATTTCTACAAGTCCTGTTCTTCCTTTGGTATTTCCTATCCTAATGAATGGAATGAATACGGTCTATTCACCCAAGCCAGAGAAATGTGGGCATTATCTTCTACCTCTCATCTCTTTCAACCCTTTCTTCTACTACTTTACAGAAGAGTGGTTAAGCATAAGCAGGAAAAAGCAGGTTTTATACCCCATTTCAATCATTTATCAGTGATGAGATCTTGGGAAGTTTCTTAACCTCCCCAAATCTAATTTTCTCAACAGTAAAATAAGAATAAAAATAGTACTTAACCCAAGAGTGTTTATGGGGACAGAGTGAGAAAATTTATGTAAAGCTCTTAGTACAGTACTTGCCATAGGGTAAGCATTCATAAACAGTAGGCATTTTCAATATCATTCCTAACAATCTTGCCTACAAATCTCTCATGAATTCAAGATTCTTCCAGAATATAGAGCTGAGCACTTTCTCTCCCACTCAAAATTTTTCAAACTCTCTACTACCAACTCCTACAGAGACCTTAAAGTAAGACACAATGCCTTTCAGTATGGACTCTACCTACCTAGTTTTGTCTTCTACCATTCCCTACCCTTCTCCCGAGTCCTAAACTCCTACAATATCAACTATTAATTACATCCCATGCAAAGGTACTTCCATACTTTTGCACATACTGTTTCCTTAACAAATGTCCTTTCTTCTTAAAACCCCCAATGAGTGTCCTTAAATCAACTCCTACGCATTCACCTTTTACAATGTGGATTAAATGTTATCCTTTCTCTGTTAAATATTCCTATATACAACAATGTAGAGTTTATTACCCTCTTCTATAAACTACCACTATATATTTTTAATGTCTATTTATTTATGTGTCTGATTCATCCATTAGACTCTGATCTCTTTGAGGTCAAAGGCCGTGTTCTAATTCAACCTTAATTCCCAGTTCTGTCATAGTGCCTATCCCAGAACCAATATTGCCAAGTATGTCAAAAACAAGTCAAAACAACCTTGTTTACTAGAATAATAAATGATAAATAATGACTGGAGCTGAATGAAATGACGGAAATTGAATGAAAATATTATTATCTTAAAATCAGTGTGAAGTCAATGAAAGTTGTGGAACAAGGAAACAGATGATAGAGGTGTAAAAAAGTCTAGAGGGAAATAGTCTAAAAGGATGTTAGTATTGAAAAATGGCTACAATTTTGAACATAATGTGAATAGACCTAACTTACAAGATTTAATTTCTTATTTCACAATCTCATTATTCCCATATTTCCCTCTCCTACTTTTTTCTTCCTTTGTATTCAGGTCTAGCTAGATAAAGGAAGACCTTATTAGTTGAGGAAAATTGATATTAGTAAAAGGCCACTTAAAATGAATCCAATAAAAACAGAGAAAAAATTTCAAAGTAAAAAGTGGGAACAAAGTCCAGAATTTAGAAATTTATCTTGAAAAATGAAATTAAAATTTATAATAAAGTTTTTCTTTTACATTTAACAAAAATTTTTTTTCAAGATTTTATTTATTTGACAGAGAGAGACATAGTGAGAGAGGGAACACAAGCAGGGGGAGTGGGAGAGGGAGAAGCAGGCTTCCCGCTGAGCAGGGAGCCCGATGCGGGGCTCGATCCCAGGACTTGGGATCATGACCTGAACCAAAGGCTGACACTTAACGACTGAGCCACCCAGGCGCCCCATAAATTTTGTTTTTTTAAGATGTATTTATTTATTTGAGAGGGGGGTTGGGGGGAAAGGAAGAGGGAGAGAGAGAATCCTGAAGCAGACTCCACGCTGAGCCTGATGCGATGTAGGGCTTGATCCCAGGACGCTGAGATCATGACCTGAGCTGAAATCAAGAGTTGGCCACCAAACTGACTGAGCCACGCAGGTGCCCCAATAAATTTTAAGTTATAATTTCAATATGCTAATTCTTAGAACATAGAAATCAAGTTTTTTTTTTTTTTTTGGTCAATACAGAAGTTTTGATAGAACAAACTGAAATCCTCAATTTCATATTCATCTTTTATATCACAGGCATAATCATTTTTATAAAAATTGTAGGGGCATCTGGGTGACTCAGTCAATTAAACAGCTGACTCTTGGTTTTGGCTCAGGTTATGATCACAGGGTCCTGAGATGGAGCCCTCCCTATGTTGGGCTCTGCGCTCAGCAGGGCAATCTGCTTGAGGGTTCTCTCCCTCTGCCTCTGCGCCTTCACCTGCTCATGCTCTCTCTCTTTCTCTAAAATAAATAAATAAATCTTTATAAAAATTTTAGAGGGCTTCATCAATTCCCTCAAGGGCCTCTATCAATCCTTTGATACTTAAATTATTTTCATTTGAAGAACCTATTATATTGTCATCTTTATGTTTCTTTTCTATTATTAACTGGACTAATTTAATTCTACTGTATTCCTTATTTCTCAATGGCTTTTTTTTTTTTTTTTTTCCAGCAGCAAAGTGCTTGATAAAAAGTATATTGTAGAGGGTAATACACAAAAGTTGGGGTAAGAAGAGGGAAGAAAAATGGGTCAGCAGGATGGGCGAAGGCCTCAAAGGAAATACGGCGTCGTAGTTCTGGGAGGAATAACACGTTCTGAATCTGGAACTGCCCGGAATAACTTTGGTTCTCTTGTATTTACATCTTTGAAGACCATGATCGAAGCAATATTTCCACAACGATAGCAGTAATTAGGAGCAGACCATACTGTTACCAGCTTCTCATCAAACATAAATTTATAGCCTTCGTGCACTAGTTGGTGTGCTCTGCAGATGAGTTTTAAGTTGTTGATATGAACAAACT